ATAAAGAATTCCTATAATAATTTTAAATTTAAAATTAAAATTATTTATTTATTTATTTATTTAAATAATTTGTTTATTTTAAATTTTTAAATTTAAAATAATTATAAATTATTTATAAGTTTTTAAAAGTTTCTTTATAAATTTTTTTTCACAATTTAATTTTATTACATAATTAGTGCTTAATTTTTACATCACATTAAAATATTTATATCAATATTTATATCAAATCAATTACTATTAATGCATTCATTAAATATTATTTTTTATCAAATATTAGGCAGTAAAATTATCTTATATATAAAGTAAAATAGTTTATGAATGAAATGAAATCATATTTGTTCCAATATTTAACAAAAAAAAAATTATAAAATATCAGTACTAAAAAAAAAGACAACATACCAGTTATTTGAGATCCAGGACCATATTGCGATGATGAAGCAATGAATGTGTAAGGGCTCGTTTGCACAGGTTGTGACCTTGCTTGACCATGATTCGGCTCGTTGGCTTTTAATGGCTTCACACATGTATCCACTGGTGCTCCATCCGGAAAACTATTCACGAAGAATACCGAAGAAACCACAATTAGCATACTGAATGCCAAGTTCCTCATAATCAAACTCATATTATTTATTTCTTCTTATTTTCCTGACCTGTTATTAAAAAAAATCAATTTAATGCTAATGATGAGCTTTAAAAAATATAAACTTTCAGATTTAATAGAAATATTTATCTAAATTTTTCAAAAACATAATATAAAATTTGATTTTATCGATTCAAAATCATTCATACAAATATATCTAAAAATGAATTTATATGAAAAAAATTAGAATCTTATTTTAATTGTAAAAAACTTAAAATTTTTTTTTAAAATTAAAATTAAAATAGTAAGTATTAACAAATATAATTAAAATTAATCAAAGAAATCAAAATTAATTTCAAATATATTTATTATTTTAAAATAAAAGAGCATTTAAAATTTAATTTTTTTTAAATTAAAATAAATAAATAAATAAAATTAACAATAAACAATTAATAAAAAGCACTTACTTAATTTAAATTAATAAAAAGAAAACATAAAATTTGAAATAATCAAGTGTTGGAGGCAGAAAGATTCGAAAGAAACTGTACTATTCGGCCTCCCGCGAGTAAATCAAACTGTGTTCAGATCCCACCATGTAATCATAAAAGACTGGTACAATTCACTTTTACTAATTGTCACTTTCACTTCGATTTCTTCGTTGATTCTACAGTTAACTGTGAATTGTGTTTTTGGTATTCATTAATCCTTCTTTGCTTTTTATTAATCTCTATTTCATGTTTAAAAAAAATGTTCGATATATTTTAAATTTTCAAAATTTTATAAAAAAACTAACTATATGTATTTCTTCTTACTTTTAATATAAAATTGTATTTATTTAAAATTTAAAATTCTATTTTAATCATAATTTTTCTAATCTTTTTATATAAAAACTATAATGTTTTTATTTAAAAACGTTAATCTTTTTAATAAAAAAACTATTTTATTAAGTTCGATAACATTCAATTGAATAAATTTTTAATTTTTTACTTCTAATTTAAATCAAAAATATATCATATTATTATATATTAATTAATCTTATTTAAAAATATTGTATGCGATATATTATGCATTACGAATTGTATCAATTAAAAGAAATAATGTATGTAGAAAAGTATACGAGAGATAACTGCTTGCATCGCATATTATTTTTGTATCCTATTAAATTGATTTGTGGAAAAATATCACGCGTTCCTATTTAATATTACAATATTTGTAAAATTATGATGTACTTCTTAGATCAATATTATTTTTTATAGAATTATTGATTCTGCTATTTACGATTTCATTGAAATAAAAATCATGTAAATATAATTTTCAGCGAAAAATTTATTTATTAATTATAAAAATTCTTAATAAAAATTTACACAATAAAATGCATTGATTTAATATGTAACAATTAATTATAATATAATATAATAAGTTATTAATTATAAATGATAAGTTATAGATAAAAATATTATATGAATTCAAAATCTTTTATCAAATAAATTAAAAAATGCATAACTTAATACATTACTCGTCGTAATATTATCGAAAGTATTATTTACAAGAATTATAATGATGTCATATTTACAAATGATTATACAATAAATAGTAATTGTTATTAAAGTTCGACATATAAAAATATGATAAAGATTTATATTTGCATATTTTTATATACTTACATTATTATAAATATATATATATAAAAAGACAAAATGAAAAATATTATGGAATTGTTTTTATACAAATTATATTAAGCAATAAAATTTTGTTTTATATAATAAATATAATGAATGATATTTTAAATAATTCTAAAAAGAATTTGTTTCATATTAAACTATCAAAATATTTAAAAACACTTATTTATCATAAACACTTATATATAAAACATAAAAATATAGCATTCGTTCACTGGTATATTCATAAATATTTTATAAAAATTCTATATAAAGAAGGAATGTTTCAATCTGACTTTGTTAAGGCAAAAGAGTATACTTCGTTTTCAATTACTTCAATGGCACAAGGCCGTGGAAACCAACCTCTGTTTCGTATTTGCTTTGAGTTTTCATCATTCTCTTTTTTTTCTCCAAATAACCAATACCTATAAAGTTCATCAATTAAATAATTTCATCAATTAATTTAAAAGTTAATAATTTTTTGTGTGAACGTACTTTCTCCATCGAGTTACGATTACAATATCTCCAACTTTAAGTTTAATACGAGGTTCATCAGTACAAGGTGGATGACAAAGTACACCCCAACCATGTCTTAATGGCAAACGTGATCCAGATGCTTCTTCTATAACTCTATAAGTTTTAGCTCTCTTCCGTTTATCTTTCTTTTGAGCTAATTGTTCTCGCTGAAATAAAAAAAAGAATATTCATTAAATTTTCATTAAATTTAAAATAATAGAAAAAATAAATAAGTTTAGAAATCAATGAATAAAATTACCGTTAAAGTATATTGGTCACAACCTTCAATTATAGGCCAATGAATTCCGTCACCTATTGGTGTACAATCCCATGTGAAAACTTGTTGCAAATTAAAACGCCATCCTTTTGAATAAGGATAAATAAATTTATCTCTAGTTCCAAATCGTCGATAATGAGCTTTTTCTGATATCCAAGCTTCTATTTCTGTTGTGTTTTTGATTATGGACAATAGCTATAAAAAAAATATATATATATATTTATTAAATTATATATATTATATATATTTATATAATTATATTATATAATAATTATATATTTATATATTAATAATATAATTAATGATTAATAATTATAATTTTATATATATAATAATACACATATATATATTTGATTATTATATATATAATATAAAAAATATAAAAATCTTACTTGAAAATAAAGCAATGTTCCAACAGCAAGAATAACACCAATTGACAAACCAATACTGAAGATAACTAATATTAAAATAAATATAGAAGGTGGTGGAAATGATAATGGTTTTAATGATAATACTGTCATCACCCAAGAAACTAATGTAAAAGTAGAAACACAACATCCAGCAACTGCACTTGCTAAAAATGCTGTAAAATGACAGTGATTATAATGTCCTACACAATTATTGATCCATGGACAATGATGATCCATTTTCATAACACAACGAGCACCTGGAAATAAAAAATAAATTCAAAATACTATAAAATATCAAATCCATACAAAATCTTACATTTTCTGCAATGATGAGATCTTGGTGCTTTATATCCTTCGCAAACAGAACAATATTGTAAATATTGAGTATCTGTTGCTTTTTCCTGCAGAAAAAAGCATTATTAAATTCTATGCTAAGAGAAATTTTATTTACATATTATTGTTTTTAGAAATATATATATATATAATATATATAAATATATATTATAATACCGGTATCCATTTTAATGGAAGAAATCCAGGTCCTTCATAAATAGCACTAATAAAATGAAAGAGAGTAGATCCACTAAGACAAAAAAAAAGAATAAAATTAACTGCTCCAAAAAAACTTTCTTGTGGTGGCCACCATTGTCTACTACAATGTATTGTCATCAAAGTAATTATTTTTATAATTCCTAAAACAATATTACAAAAAACAATGTTAATATAAATATTAATATAAATATAAATAAATTAAATAATATATGAACTGATTTAAATAATATATTTATGTATTCAATAATTATATAAATATGTTACAAATTTATTATAAGAAGTAATTAAAATTACAAAAATACATTCAAATTTCGCGGCATTTCATCATGATATGATAAAACAAAATGGAAGCACTCATCTGTCAAGTTTATTCGCATAACATTTCTACAATCAATTTCTTAGTAATACCTTATTATTAAAATACATTAGTATTTAGAACAGTATGTTATCACATTTAATAATCCATAATAGCAAAAAATGTTTTTCTTTTTGCCTTCTATTAAAATACAGATTTAAATTATTCTTATTCACCTACCAAGAGCAGTAAGTGGACCCCAATGACATATTTTCTTTAACGGATCGACACACATGCCGTCACCATAAAATTATCCTAAAATATCCTTTGAATCCTAAAAATCAGGTATTTGATACGTCTGCAAACGAACAATGCTTGCGATCGCTTATTAAATTTGTAAAAATGTATTCCTCTCGACAACACATCCCGGAACAATTCATATATGTTGGTACAACATATCAATGGTGGCACCAATGTCGAAAATTTGTTAAGATTGATAATTTTTTATGTTATAATAATTTATGAATAGAAATATATTATATAAAATAATAATAATTATCATATAAAATAACACATTTATTAAAACTTAATAGAAAATTCATATGCATATGTATTTTTTTAGTAAATCACTTCTTTGATACGCATTTTTTTGGTAAATTGTTTGATATATAAAACCTCTGCTTTAGATTTGATATATTAAGAATCAATATGTTTTTATAATCGCAGTACATAATATAAATAAAAGATAGTTATTTTTTATTTTCTTATTTAAAATAATAAATAGTATAATGTAATAAAAAATATTTAATGATTATTTAAAGTTTATTACAATATTACCATTTAAATTTCTGTACTTATAAAATGTTCGAGATTTAAAATTTAAATATTTATTGTTTTATTTATTATTATTTTAAATAATTTTATAAAACTGGTGTCATAGAAATTTCATTGATTAAATTGATTTATGAACTTAACTAAAAATTAATTCATTTAAAAAAATAAATAATTGATTTATTTAAATGAAATTTTAATTTTCATATGTATGTATAGTTTTTCTATTATAAATCATGTTAAAATTTTTTTTATTCTATGAAGGTATCTAATAACAAGTTTACCAATATAATCTAGAAAAGTACTTAATTTACTATATAATAAATAAATTATTTATTTATTTTTATAATAAATTTATATATTTTATTTATGCTTTCATATGATTTAAAATATTTTTTATAGGTTATGCATATAAAATTGCATTATTAAAAACTTAAATCATAATCTTCCTAATTTTAAATAATTAGAAAATGCTATTAAATTAATTTTAACTGATTTAGAGTAGTTTTTCTGAAAAATAATCATTTTATTTGAATTGAATTTATAAGATAGTATAGAATATTAGTAAACTTGAAAGTTAGTAAAAAGATATATATAACGTTCATGGTGTTTATTTTTTTAATTTTATCGATCATAATGAATTTATTTCAATTATATAAAATATAAAATATTATTTCATATAAAATATGAAAAAATTTAGTGTATGTAAATTTATTAAAAAATATAAAAATTTGAATATATAAAATATAATATTATATATGCATTTGGAATATCATTAAATATAAATAATACGGTCTTTTCAGCCAAATAATCAAATAGAACTTTGTAAACCAAAAGTTACTGTTCCTAAAGCACGTCCACCCCTAAGAAGTGAATGTAATGTAAGTGAAGAAATCAATTCTTTTAAAAATTCTAAAAATTTATTGGTAAATATGTACAAAACTAAGCAACAAAATCAAGAATTTCGTAGTGTTTCTGATTTTCAATATACTGATGATGATGATGATGATGATGATGATGATGATGATGATGATAATGATGATAATGATGATAAGGTTAATGATGATATTGAAAAAAATAATTACATATTTTTAAATAACTCAAAAGATATACCAGAATATTTCAATACTTCACATAATTCAACAGCAAATCAATCTTTTAATATTACTCCACAAAATTCCCCTTCTACAACAATATATAGACGAAATTATCATAAATTAAATGCATGTTCTAATGTTGATAAAGATTCTTTCTCTTATAAAGAACAAAAGCAAATTGTAGAAGGGTTTTTTTCAAATTGTTTCAAATTGCTTTTGGGTATTATTTTATGCTTTTTATTTCTTTTTATGCTCTTAAATATTCAAACAAAATCTCATAAAAATTCAGAAACAATTATTGAAACAAAAAAAGTAAATTTAACTGAAATGAATAACATATTAGATAAATCAATACAAATAATTCAGACACGATTTCATAATCAAAAATCCAACATTTGGAATGATATATCAGCTGGAATATATGATGTAGTTTTATTTCCATTAAAACCTTCAATTATTATTTTGTTTGGAAATGAAACTAGTACTTTGAATTGCTTAGCTCAATTACTTGGACAATTGAGTGGCAAAATTTTAGGTAGTAATGATTATTTAATATTAACAGCAAAAGATTTTCCAAATGATGTTGGACAAACTATTCATAATTTGAAAATTCA